TCATGACCTGAGCCGAAGGCAGTCACTTAACCAACTGAGCCACCCAGGCGCCCTGCTTGCTGCATTTTTAAGAAACTAAGACTTAAGTTAAAGTTAATTGTCCAAGGTCCCATGGCCAGTGGCCTGAGTTGCACTTTGAACCCTAGACCTCAGACTCCAAATCCTGGACTCTTCCACTATGTCATTCTTCTCCTTGTTATTATAGTAGCAGAGTCTAATAAGAGTTATCAGAAATAATCAAATCCATTGGCTTACTATTTTCCCTTCAAAAAAGAAAACAAACCTAGGCATGTAACTTTTGGCTACCTCTCCCAGTGGATTTTCATCTGAGATTGTATGGACAAAACTCATTTCATAAATAACATAAAAATATAGCTCATTTATTTTCTCATTTTTTACAAATTAGTCTTCTGGCTTTGCAGTCCTTTCTTCATGTCATATCTGATAAATCAAAGAAGTTTTCTCTTGTCAAAGGATTGCAAGATAATCGATCTTAGTTATTTAACAGAGAGACTGAATATATTGTACAACATGCTTTGGCATTTGTCTTTTAATAGACACACTACGATTTCAAATAATTTACTGGGATTTCTACCATTATCTTCCAGGTTAACATTAGCAGAATACCATGAACAAGAAGAAATCTTCAAACTTAGATTAGGTCATCTTAAAAAGGTAAGTGTAATGAGAAAAATATGTCTGGAGAAATTAGTTTACATGTGGTATTGGAGCAGATGTCATGGTTTGACATACCTGCAGAAATCTTGAGTAGTTGTGCTCACTATCACATCTTGCATTTAATTTTTTTTGAGATTTTATTTGTTTGTTTCAGAGAGAGTGCATGCACAAGCAGGGGGGAGCAGCTGAAAGAGAGAGAATCTCAGGGAGACTCCCTGCTGAGCATAGAGCCCGACTCAGGGCTCAATCTCAGGATCCTGAGATCATGACCTGAGCCGAAATCAAGAGGCAGAGGCTCAACCGGCTAAGCCACCCAGGCACCCCGCCCCTTTTGTATTTCTAATGATGAAATGTCTTTCAATTTTTGAGTCAACTCCAGCCACCCAGTGGGAGCACTTTTTCAACCAATGATATACCAATAGATAATTCTGTATATGTCATAAAGCTTCATAAGTAGTTATCCTTATAGTAAAAATTAAATACAATATGAGTAGGTGGTTCAGATTTGATATGAAAACTCTTAGGATATTTTATTTTATTTACTTATTTTTTTAAAAGATTTTATTTATTTGAGAGAGTGCATGTGCGCATGCACACACGCGCG